GATCATGGCCATCAGTATCACAACTCGAAGATCCACGGTAATGCTTTTAACCGCGATTGATGTTCGACTGTGGACCCAGGAAGCACTCGGATCTTCGTTGCTGGGGGCGTGTTACATGCATGAAGTGTGGCAAGAGAGGACACCCCTCGGATCACTGCCTCTTCGTGTGTCGCGGATGTCGAGAACTGCATGGCATGGGAAAATGTCCGATGGGAGAGTTCTACAACCAGATCCACCAGTGGCTTAACCCCACGAAGCACATGGGTATGCTACCCGAAGCTGCTGAGAAGATGTTAAACTAGGACGCTCGTCGGGGTGGAATCCGATACGAGCCGAGCGTTCTAGATACAGCATCTATGCATTTGTGAACAAGACATCGGTAGATCAGGTTAGTAAACGACCAGATCTACACGATAATACATGTGATCTACATGGGAGACATACCTTCGCAATTTCAAATCTTCACCAAATCGACGAGTATGCCAGATCCGAAGTCACCATGAGTGTGGGTCTCCAACCAGGAGAGTCACGAGGTTATTGTTGACAGCAAGATCCAGATATATAGTTTAATCCCACAGATCACGAGGTTACTCCGGAGATCCAGGGGCCTAGCAAGATCTCGGAGTACCGACGCTCAACGACCATGGATCTACTACCAGGAGAATCTCATGGTTACTGGAAGCATCATTCGCCAGGGAAATGGTTTCGTCAAGCGAAGATCACAGGCACGATCCACAATGAGAAAGCGATCTTACTCTTAAATACCGGCGCCGAGGTGTCCATCGTGGACACCACCTTTGCTCGTAAGATTGGGTGCTATATCGACTCGAGTCAGATCCAAGACTGCGTGGGAATTGGCGATAATGTGTATCGTACAGAAGGAAGAACGCGACTGACCAATAAGCTATACTTGGTATGGACTTCATGGTCCTAGCCGGGATCCGCCTGGATCTAGCTCATGGATCAATCAGCTTGCCCGATGAAGTCCGGATCCAGCTCAGCGGAAGACGCCAGCTGTATAACGACAAAGCGAATATCGTAAATGTCGGTCAATACCTTCGGATCTAAGCAGGAGAATCGGAAGAGCTGCCATTACGCCTGAGATCGTCGATCCACGACAAGCTGTGGGTCACGCGTGGGGATCGATGGGTACCGGCAATATCCGATGGACCAGGGAGGATGAAGTATATCTCGATCACCAACATCGGGGACGAGGCGTTGATCCTGCATCAAGACCAACGGATCGCGATCTGGCTGGCCGGAGATCATGTGCCGCGAATACCCGGTTTCATCTCGATCGGGTCTCGTCGCTACATGGAGTGGCAGAATCTAGCGTTAGAAGCCACGACAGACGCTCGATCCGAAGATATGGAGATCGAAGCCCCGCTAGAGCCCGCGGTAGAGCGACCCGAGTATAAAACTTCGCGCACAATACTCCAGAGGCCGAAGACGACGTCGACCATGTGTCGGAAAATCGAGGCGGGTCAGGATCAAGACGTTCCCGACTGCCTGCCTTCGGACAACTCGCTGTCGGATATGTCGCCGTCGGACAAATCGTCGTCGGAGATTCGACCGTTGGATCTAGCGTCTGTCGCAAGTGAGGAGTCAGATCTGTCGTCTATCGCAGATGAAGACTCTATATCGCATGCCGTAGCGGTCAAGGAGGCGCTAGAAGATCTCGATCAAGCAACGCCAGACGTGTGGGCGACTGATTCGCCATTGGAAGAAACTACAAGTGCAGTAGAGGCGCAAGAAGAAGAGGGTCGAGATGGAATTGGGGTTGCCAACCAGGATCAACTACATTCGAGAGGTCACGATCAAGGAACACCACCGTCGAAATGCGATGGATCCGATCCACCATCAATGATGAGTGTACAATCTGGGACGGGACATGTGACCAGTGATCCGTTGAACGACAAATGCGTCGCGTCTATGTCGCAAAAAAACGGGCATGGATCCACCACCTGTTGTTGAAGGTCAACCAGGCGCATCGGATCTGAACCTCACCTGGGACTCAGATCAAGATTACGATGAATGTGTATACTACCATGAAGGAAGTGATCCGTACGCGGAAGATGTTAACGGTCGGATGGCGGTATTGCCTGAAGTGCCCGTGGCGTCGGAAGATGTGAAGATCGAGGTCATTCAGCTATGTGGATCTGATAGTCAGACCCCAGAAGAAATCGATCGACTTCACCAAAGGATCTGGAAGTTCCGGCACCTCTTGATCAGTAAAGGTAATGCCCTGCCGCCAGGCGCCCGAGGTGTTGTATGCGACATCAATGTCGGAGGAGCGAGGCCTATCGCCCTGAAGTGTCGTAAGTTGCGGATCCAGTTCAGGGAGAAGCTGGCGGACTTGATCAAGGGTCTATTATCTGCCAAGATGATCAATTATTCTAGATCACCGTGGCTTCCCCGATCGTGGTGATCATCAAGAAGAATGGAGTTAATATATCAGGTTGTGCATCGATTACCGGTTGGTCTACAGTCTAACTCAGCTGATGATCTACCCAAGGTCCTTGATCAACGACTTACTTGAAGATCTGGAGTCGACGCTCTGGTACTGCTCGTTGGATATGGCGAGTGAATTTTGGGTAGTGAAAATGACGGATCGTGCTCGTTTGATATCGGCTTTTATCACTCCCTTTGGACTATTTGAGTGGAATCGAATGCCCTTCGGGTTGAAGAATGCGCCCCAGATCTATCAATGTATGATCGATAACGCGCAATATGGATTCACCCGGATCTCGAAGTCTGAAGATCACGGAGGTACTTTGGACGTGTTTGAGGATGGGGAATCGGTGGATCCAGGCAAGCCATCGGTGCTTGGGCGTAGATTATACATCGACGACATCCTGATCCCAGCCAATAACTGGGATCAACTATGTGATCGAGTACTCGAAGCGTGCGATAAGTGGAATCTGTCGATCAGTGTGGTTAAGCGTTTCTGGGGAATGTCTACGGTGGAATATCTGGGTCATAAGGTCTCGCACAATGGACTGGAGACGAGCCCGAAAGATCTGTCGGCATTGACTGATCTAGCATTCCCGGGATCACTTGGAGTCATGCAGTCATTTTTGAGAAGTCTAAACTATTACAGCCGATTTATCGAAGACTACGCGATCTACGCGTCAGTTCTGTATAAATTACGAGAAATCGCCTTTGCTGCGATGATGAAATAGACCGCCCAAGCACAGATCCAACAAGTGCTAGAAGCGGAGAATGTGGATCCAGGATCACGGGAGGATCAAGTGATCGACCACCAAAAGACTCTGGATCAGGAGGCACAAGACCTCACTGGAGTGGATTCACGTTGGATCCACGCCTATCGATCTTTCAGCGTGTTTAAGTCCAACATTGCCACTACTCCGATCTTACGACACTTTGATCCGGATCCAAGAGCTACGGTTGTGGTGTATGCTAGTGACTGGGCCATTTCAGGATCACTGATACAGGAGTATGACAAGATCTACTACCCCGTGATTTTTGCGAGCCGTACCTTGTAGTCAAATGATCTGGATGATGGCATCGCGGAGAAAAGGTGCTGGTCTTGCTGCAGATCCCAGATCTTAACTACAATGCCTTGGTCGGACGTCCGATCCATGTGCTGACCCGA